CTTCCAATCTATACACATATATATATATATATATATATATATATATATATATATATATAAGTGGCACGTGTGTGCCCAGGCTCATACAACAAGCTGAAGGGGCGTTTGAAGCAGGAGTGACATGCAACAGCGAAGTCGCACTCGAGCGCAAGTAGGGTTGCCACACCTTGCGATGTGTGTACCAGGGCCCCCCAGGAAGCCTCAGGAGGCCCGACTTGGATACCAGAAGAGGCTCCAGGAGGCCCCAGGATTGTGAGTGTTGTGTGTGTGTGATGTGTGCTTTGTGTGGTGCGTGCTTTTTGCGTGTTGTCGTGTGTGTGTGTGTGTATGTTATGTTTGTCTAGCGTGTGATGTGTTGGGCGTGATTTGTGTCTCTGTGTGTGCATGTAGTTCTGAAGCCCCAGGAGGCCCCAGGAGGCCCCAGGCGGCCTCAGCAGGCCCAGGAGAACTCCAGGAGGCTCCGAGGCGGGGTCTGGGGTACCAGAAGGTCCAGAAAGCCCCAGGAGGCCCCAGGAGGTTCCAGGAGGCCCCCAGGAGGCTCCGAGGAGGGGTCTGGGGCTCGATTTTGGGAGGATGTCTCAGGCGAAACCGCCATTCTCTGAGAATCGGAGTCAAAATCATTGAAATTACCATGTGTTTTTGAAGGTTTTATGATAAACTGTTGGAAATCCTATGTGTTTTTGGACCCTGGCGTCACGATCTGCGTGAGGGGTGCCACCGATTTTCAGAATGTCGAGGATGTCCCGAGCGAAACGGCCAGAAAAATCGCGAACGACGGACGCATTAATCGCCTCTGAGCTCTACTCCCTCGGAGAGGTGCGTCTGAGATATATATATATATATATATATATAATATATATATATATATATATATATATATATATATATAATTACCCTGCGACGTACCCAACCCATGCGCATCAAGTGGCAAGAGGAGCAGGCCAACATTAGCAGGAACAGCGACAATGTAGACACGGTGATTTGTTGCGCAATCTACATGGGACGCGCGTGCGTTGCACGACTCACAGGACGACGATCGAAAGAACGAGGATCGAGGCCCCAGGCTCGAAGAAGAACGGGGATGGGAACGAGGGGCAGGAGGAGGATGGAATGGGGGGGCGAAAGGCCATCGCGGCAGCAGCAGCATGCATGGAGCAGGTGAAGCGGGGAATCGGACGACAATGAAGGTGGCGGGAGGAGACAGAAAAGCGCCGCGTTTTCAGGTACACGCTAAACACTGAGCGCTGCCTGCGCCATGTCGTCGCAGCGTTCCACAGGCTCAAACCTGCTTATAGTAAGTGCAAGAAGCGAGCGAGACTTAGCTCGCCCGCTAGATTCCCCGCCTCATCCCTGCACATTGAGTGCGGGATCTGAACGTTCGCAGGCGCGCCGCCAGGTCTGCGGGCGGCCCGCGGGAAATGACACATTTTCACAGATCGCAGCCCTCCAGGGATGGCGAAGTCTAATCTGAATCCCCGTATGACGTCACTCCGCTGGCCACCCCAGCACCCCTCGAAAGTGGCGACAGGTTCGCAGATCGCATCACCCTCGCCGTACGTCGCCAGGCTTCGTAGCATGTGGTGCCTCACTCCGCTGGACCCACCAGCAGCCCTCGAAAGTGGCGACAGTTTCACAAATCGCAGCCCCCCAGAGATGGCGAGGTCTAATCTGAGTCCCCGTGGTGCCTCACTCCGCTGGACCCACCAGCAGCCCTCGAAAGTGGCGACAGTTTCACAGATCGCAGCCCCCCCCCCCAGGGATGGCGAGGTCTAATCTGAGTCCCCGTGGTGCCTCACTCCGCTGGACCCACCAGCAACCCTCGAAAGTGGCGACAGTTTCACAGATCGCAGCCCCCCAGGGATGGCGAGGTCTAATCTGAATCCCCGTGGTGCCTCACTCCGCTGGACCCACCAGCAGCCCTCGAAAGTGGCGACAGTTTCACAGATCGCAGCCCCCCAGAGATGGCGAGGTCTAATCTGAGTCCCCGTGGTGCCTCACTCCGCTGGACCCACCAGCAGCCTCGAAAGTGGTGACAGTTTTTTCGACAGATCGCAGCCCCCCAGAGATGGCGAGGTCTAATCTGAGTCCCCGTGGTGCCTCACTCCGCTGGACCCACCAGCAGCCCTCGAAAGTGGCGACAGTTTCACAGATCGCAGCCCCCCCCCCAGGGATGGCGAGGTCTAATCTGAATCCCCGTGGTGCCTCACTCCGCTGGACCCACCAGCAGCCCTCGAAAGTGGTGACAGTTCCGCAGATCGCAGCCCCCCCCCCCCCAGGGATGACGAGGTCTAATCTGAGCCCCCGTGGTGCCGAGAGGAGAGGAGGAGCGAAGAGAGGAAAAGGGGTGCAAGAGAGGGGAGGAGAAGGGAAGAGTGGCAAGATCGCGGCCCGCCAGGGATGACGTGAAAGGCAAGATAAGAGAAGAGGAGGAGCGAAAAGAGGAGGAGAAGGAAAGCAAGAGAGGAGAGGGGGAGGGAAGAGAGGGGGGGGGGGGCGGGAGGAGGAGAATGGAGACCGCAGTGCTCTATTCAAAACGAGTACCCAACGCAGGAGGGCTGGGAAAAAAAAAAACAATTACCCTGTGACGTACCCAACCCAATTGTATCATGGGGAACGAGGAGTTGACCGAAACTTGCATGGGCAATCAAATTGCAGGATCCGTTGTTTGATATGTAAGCTACTTGGGACACGCGCCTATGGCATGATGCGCAGGAGAACCATGCAAGAAAGAGGGGCAACAGCTACAGGCTCGAAGAGGACATGGGGAGACGGGAGCGAAGAGCAGGAGAAAGACGTGCGGGAAGCCCACTGTGCTGGGCCCCTTAGCAGCCCTCGAAAGTGGCGTCAGTTTCACAGATCGCAGCCCCCCAGGGATGGCGAGGTCCCATTTGAGTCTGCGGTGAGTACCCACTGTGCTGGGCCCCTCAGCAGCTCTCGAAAGCGGCGACAGTTTCACAGATCGCAGCCCCCCCAGGGATGGCGAGGTCCGATTTGAGTCTGCGGTGAGTACCCACTGTGCTGGGCCCCCCCAGCAGCCATCGAAAGTGGCGACAGTTTCACAGATCGCAGCCCCCCAGGGATGGCGAGGTCCCATTGGAATCTGCGGTGAGTACCCACTGTGCTGGGCCCCTCAACAGCCATCGAAAGTGGCGACACTTTCACAGATCGCAGCCCCCAGCAGCCTTTGAATCCGCCGTGGGT